GGTAGAAACAGATGTCGCTTTGTGCAGCCATACAAATATTTACAGTGGCACAAAGAGACAGCAAACAGGCATCCATCATGCCACAAGGTAGCAGCAATTAAAGGTAGTAATAAATTGTACTATTTATTGCAGCAAACATCGATTTGCTTTATGACGGGAGAGTGCAGACAGCCCAAAGCAGCCTGTGCTCTCCCACTGCCCTGGGTAGGCACTTCCTGGGCTTTAAGAGCCTGATCCTGTATACCCTGCCAATTCCTGCACAGAATTAGGCCCCTCCAGACCAGGGAGCACCTACTTAATTTTACCCACTTTCAGACATGTGCCCGTGGCAATCTCCATGGCGAGGCTCTGGAAATAGGAACCTCAACTTCCGTTGCTTCTACAGACTTGCCTAGAGAGTGCTGGGGGTATGTTTCTGCAAGCAGGGAAAGCCGGGACACACTGATGCAGTCCCAGGGCTGGGGCTGCCAATTAGCTGATTGGCAATCCTGTCCCTGGGACTTCACCAGAGTATGGAACTTGCTCTGCTGGGGGCCAAGGGTTGAAACTGTGAATCAGCCGATTGGAAGCCCAGCCCTGGGACTGTACTGGGGTGTCCTGGCTTAATGTACCCCTGACAATCTTTGGTAACCCCAGAGATTGCTGGGGGCATGTCTTTACAAGCAGGGCAAGATCAAGAGGTGGGACAACGGGTGTTGTGTGCTTCACCCAGTAAAGCAGATCAGCTGTGCTGGGACATAGCCACTTCACTGGTGATGTCTATTTCTAGACTTACACAAGACACACTTGATAACTATTTCTTCCTCCTTTTCCTTACAAAGAAAACAGGGTCTGAAGGTCCCAATATTAAGTCTTATCAGGGTAAACAGAAATACTATAATATTCAAAGCTGATGTTTATTATTACTCCAAGCAACAAATTATCCACTGCTTTAACATACAAGGTAGTATGTGCAACTACAGTTAAAATGTGACATTACTGTACAGAGTGAAATGTTGATACTTACTTTGGAGTGTACCAGTAGTTGATCAGAGTTGTAAACGCTACGTAACAAATACTCATTACTCCAGAAACTGCCAAGGAAAGCAGCCCTAGGCCACCCAGCACACAAAGAAGAGCTATTCCACCTGCTGATATTACAACACCTAGCAAGGAAGAACCAATTTGTTACTTGCATGAATACTGTACATACTATTGTACATCAAGTACATACTGAAAACAAAGAAAGTATTTGCTGCAAGTTTACTGCAATCCTAAATTCAGACCAGCAGTAATTTAAAAGTGCACATTAGTTCTGTTCACAATGCAGGTCAAAGACCCAAGGTCCCCAGTTGTATGACATCCCCTAAAGGAGAGGCAGTCTCCCTACAGAGTTTTTCTCTGATCAGTCTTGAGGAGTGATGTTTGTTTTTAGCAGGCTTTGTTCAGGTCTCCAGGGATCGAAGGAGGCTAAGAGCTTCAGCACAGAGGCTTAGCATCTCTGGGACTCAGACCTGAATCCTCTAAATCTGCATTGGCCTGGACCTCCCTAGCTGTCCTTCTCCACCATGGAAAGGTACTACAGCCATTACAGCCATGTGCATTCCTCTTACACCAGATGCTGGCCTCTTATTTGTTCTCCCAGGTGGATGCTCTGGCCCACAGTGACCTTTCCTTGGATTAGGGTGAAGTAAATGATTAGGCCCACATAGCTGGTGGAAGACAGGGTATGTGGAGGTATACTTCAGAAGAGAAGTTTCAGTACATGCTATCTGTTATCATCTAAAAGGAAAAATCCCACGCAACATGCTCTTCATAAATCTCCTTGCAGGCCAGAGATGAAAGCTATCCAAGGCAAAGATAAGAGGTTTAACAGCATCCGCATTGGGATTAACTGTACCCAAGACAGGGAAATCCTATTTCCTTTTTTAATTAGATTATTATTCCAGCATTAAGACTTTTGTTGATGCTGAAAGCTGAGAACTTCAGAAAAAAATCTTTTCAATTCAGTTGGATCAAGAGCTGTACATGAGAGAGGGGAGAGAAAGGAAAATCCTGAAAATAAAAAAAGGCTTAAAAGGGGAGGAAAAGAAAATAAATAAAATACCTTCCATGATTATAACTCCAATACAGGCCATGACAGCTGTTGCAACCACAAACATCAGAAAGAATGCAACAGGAATAGCAGAAACTGCAATAAACACCAACAGCGACAAGGCAACAAAAGGATGATCATCTAAGTATTGGCCAATTCGAGAGTTCATAAAAGCAACAACCTGTAGGGGATTGAAAGAAGAAAAGTGGAATTAGATTAGGTGTTTGCTTCATAAATCTTTTATGATCTTAAACTATTTTAATGAAATTTTGGGTACAATAATTGTGTAAGTACACAGAGTGATTAATTCGTGTTATAGGCAGTGGCTGCTCAATGTCAGAAGCACGGAGAACCGTCCGTCTCGGTACATATTTGCACTGTCCTCACCATCCTTGTATATGAATGCCTTACAAATTCTATCATGAGTGGCATATCAAGGAAATAGTTTTGTAGCACATGTCAAAGCAGATGTGGAGATATATAATCTATTTTGCTAAACCAAATGTATTTTAGTACACCTAAATTTAGAAGCTAGAACATAATGGTACTTGAAAACAAAGGGGGAAAAAATCAATATGGAAGCAGGAGTCCTCACTAATAGCATAAGATAGTTTACAAAAGATATTCTGTTAAATATATGTGATACAGATGAACCATGCTATAAATAACAGTAAAAACCTAATAGTAAATGAAGTATGCAAGTCTATAGCGTATGGGGTTTTTACCAGCTGTAATTTTTAATCCAGTGATTTACATTTGTTTCAATGTTGAAAGTCATATAACAGGCCAGGAACTTAGGTCACACTAAAACAGGTGCAAAAACAATTTGTTTTCAGGGACTATAGGTTAGCAGCAGATCCATAAATTGCCCTCCCTTGAACATTAAGGACTTCACAGATGGATCTACACTACAAAGTTGTACTGCTTTAATTATACTTATTATCTTAATTATATTTATATAGTTAAAGAGATACAACACCTCTTAAAACTTCATACTACTATATCTGAATTCCAAATTTATGCTTCAAGTTTCCTTGTATGTAAAATGGGGATAAATGTTTACTGCCTGTTGCGAGCCATTCAGATGTTACTTTAATGAATCCCATAGAAATGCTTTTAAATTAAAAATATGTTATGGTGGCTTGTTCCTTCCCCATGCCCTCTTAAAAAAAAAAAAGAGGGGATCTAATTTTCTCATGATGAAAAATTCAAATGCGACTTTTGTAATTATATCCTTATCATAAAATGAGGTGTGACATCCAAGCAAAGACAGCTGGAGAAGCATTATGTAAACACACTCTATCAAATAATAATCGAATCCGAAACCCACATTGGAGTTGCTGTGGATGGATTTCATCATGAAGCGCCACTGCTTCTGCAGCTCTTGCATTTCTTTTGACATGTTGGAGCCTTCAGGGTTGTTCTTGAACCTTCTTCTGGACGATCAGCGCCGGCTTGGCCATTCGACCTCCTTAACAATTAAAGTGAAGTTACTGACAGGCTGGTGTATAATTAGAGGAACAGTTTTTTCTTATTTAAAGCAGAGGAACGAGAAAGATGCTGAGCATGGATTTCAGCGCGTCCTATAAAATCTAGGCCACATATTACAGAACATTTCAATCCAGTCATTCCAGTTCCTCAACACCTCACTTACGTTGCCCTCAAGTACAAAAAAAATTACATTTTTCCCCCTGAACAGAAAAATGCTTCTCGCCTTCTCAGTTTATCGGTTCAATCTTGTAATTATTCATTTTAAAAAAAAATGCCCGGTTCCCCAAGGTCCAAAAATTTAAGGGGGGCAGCGTCAACTTGAAGACCACTTTTCGTCCTACAGTCTGACCTGCGGGCGTTTCAAGCAGCGCGCTTACAGGGGAGCTGTCGGCCCTGGCGCTACAATCAGGCTCACAGCGCGGGTTTCCCTTTTGCTCAGGGGCTGCAACAAGGAGGACAGAGACAATGGAGGCGGGAGGAGGGGGACCCTGCAGGCTGCTTCAAGGACCTAAAACTGCGTTTATGGCTTGTGTTAAA